TTCACTCCGAGCAAGATATAGACTGGGTGAAATCAGATTTCTCAATAGCAGGAACTGGGAGAGGGATCTTGGAGTCTTAGTGGACAACCAGCTAAATAGAAGCCAGCAGTGTGCAGCCGCCGCCAAAAAAGCCAATGCAATCCTAAGCTGCATTAACAGAGGGATACAATCGAGATCAAGTGAGGTACTAATACCACCCTATAAAGCCTTAGTAAGACCATACCTAGAGTACTGCATCCAGTTCTGTTCACCACACTATAAAAAAAGATGTTGAGACTCTAGAAAAAGTACAGAGAAGAGGAACCAGGATGATGAGGGGACTGGAGACTAAAACATACGATGAACAGTTGCAGGAACTGGGCCTGGCTAGTCTAGGGAAGAGAAGGACCAGGGGAGACAGGAGAGCATCTTCCAATATTTGAGGGGCTGCCACAGAGAGGAGGAAGGGGGTCAAGCTATTTTCTAAAGCACCTGAAGGCCAGACAAGGAAGAATGGATGGAAACTGACCAAGGAGAGATTCAACCTGGAAATAAGGAGAAATTTTCTGACAGGGAGAACAATCAACCAAGGGAACAGAAGTTGCCTTCAGAAGTTGTGGGAGCTTCATCACTGGAGGCTTTCGAGAAGAGACTGGACTGCCCTCTGTCAGAAATGGTGTAGGGTCTCCTGCTTGGGCGGGGGGGGGGGGGGGTGGACTAGATGACCTACAAGGTCCCTTCCAACTCTGTTAATCTGTTAATGGCCGCTACAGCCTGACACACACGAGGGGGATACTCAGCCTGAGAAGGAACAGACCAACCTCAGACAGAGAGAAATCCGATTTGATGTTCTCCCTGGGCCGCTGCCCATAATTCTGGTTGTTGTTTTTTTCCCAAGAGCCCCAATTTATTACAATTCACCCCGAAATGAAAACGCCAGCCATCTCCGCCCGACAGAAACACTGGCCTAATGAATGGCTGCCTGCGCCGTTCGATAGCACATTAACGTTCCTAATTGTGCCCTTCGGAGCAGGATGGGCTCGGCGTTGGGGGCCATTTGCCTGAGATGTGGAGACGGTAATGAGAAATGACTCGGCGCGCCTCACCTGGAATGCTAACGGCCTTTTGACGATGCGTAGCCACAAGGGTAACAAAAAAAAAACACCCCCACAAAAAAGCCAGAACAGAATAACAAGAGTTGGAAGGGATCTGCAAGGTCTTCTAGTCCAACCCCTTGCTCAGGCAGGAAACCCCTTTTATCTTCCATTTTGTTTTTAGAAGCTGTTTGAGGGAACCGAATTTTGGCTCTCTTATCCTTCTTAGCAGTTACTTGGAATAACAAGGTTGGAAAAGGACCCTTGAGGTCTTCTAGTCCAACCCCCTGCTCAAGCAGGAGATTACCATTTCAGACAAATGGCTACCCAATCTCTTGTTAAAAACCTCCAGTGTTGGAGCACCCACGACTTCTGGTGGCAAGTCGTTCCACTGGTTAATTGTTCCCACTGTTAAGAAATTTCTCCTTAGTTCCAGGTTGCTTCTCTCCTTGCTTAGTTTCCACCCATTGCTTCTTGTCCTGCCTTCAGGTGCTGTGGAGAATAAGTTGAGGTCAAGATGCCCTCTGTGACTGGTGGAGGTTGAAGCTTCGCCTGACTTTTAGGTGGCCCACACTTGTGCCGAAGGCTTCGTTTGGCTAATCCAGGGCTCTTCAAACTTGACAACTTTAAAGACTTGTGGACTTCAACTCCCAGAATTCCTGAGCTAACATGACTGGAGGAGGAATTCTGGGAGTTGAAGTCCACGAGTCCTAAACCTGTAGAGCAGGGGTCTTCCAACTTGAGAGTTTTAAGATAAGTGGACTTCAACTCCCAGAATTCCTCCTCCTCCTCCTCCAGTCATGTTAGCTCAGGAATTCTGGGAGTTGAACTCCACCAGTCTTAAACTTGCCAAGTTTGAAGACCCTTGTGTTAGAGTAATACAAGAACAGGAAATACATCACAGGAACAATAGAGATGAAACCTGGAGGGACAATGTGATACAGGAAACCACTGCAATACAGGGGAATGATAGAGCTGCATATAAGATAGAGCAAGGGTCTTCAAACCTGACAGCTTTAAGACTTCAATTCCCAGAATTCCTCCTCCAGTCATGTTAGCTCAGGAATTCTGGGAGTTGAAGTCCAGAAGTTTTAAACTTGCCAAGTTTGAAGACCCTTGGGCTAATCAAAACCTCAAACCGAACCAAGCCCCCCCAAAATCAATTCAATTCAGAATAGACCTAGAAGGGACCCTGGAGGTCTTCTATTCTGGCCCCCTGCTCAAGCAGGAGACACTATTTCAGACAAGTGCCTATCCAGTCTCTTCTTAAAAACCTCCAGTGATGGAGCATCCATGACTTCTAGTGGCAAGCTGTTCCACTGGTTAATTGTCCTCACTGTCAGGAAATTTCTCCTTAATTCCAGATTGCTTCTCTCCTTGGTTCGTTTTCGTCCTGTTGCTTCTTGTTCTGCTTTCAGGTGCTTTGGAGAACAGGTTGAGGTCAAGATGGGCTCAAAATGGTGCCGGTTGAAACTTAGCCTGACTTTTAGGTGCTTTTAATATGTTTTGAGCGAGCCCTACAGATATCCCTGACACACATAACAAGATTGGTGCATCAGTGCCCGAAGAGGCAATTGTGAGCCGACGGATGGGGTGGAACAGGTACTTCCGCCGATTCGGATGGATACCTTCAATTGAGGAGGTTGCCAGCAACCTGAGACGCTTGGCAGAAAAACACATGGTTAGGGTGCCGTTGTCAGGGGAAGGAAACGGTGCTTGAGGAGGCAGAGAAATCACAAATTGCTTTGTCAAGCAACCGTCTGTCACCGTGTTTGATATCCACGGTAACAACACGCCTCCTTGTGCCAGGCGCTGATTTATTAACTATATACATAAAAGCAAAATACCACACACCCATCATCACAAAATCTCCAGAACCGTAAAGCTTAGAAACTTGAAATTTGACACGTATGTTCCTCTTGGCTTTTAGGTGCTCACTAAGAAAGGATTTTTCGAAATGACTATCAGAGCATTAGTATATCCTACATTATTTTTATTAACACGCTCTGATGCTAA